AATGTACTCTGCTCTTTTTTTTCAAAAATTGTCGAAATTTGAAGACTAATTTTTAATTATAGTGTTTGAAAAATCGTGTACTTACGTCAAACCTCAATTTTCAAAATGGTGCAGAAAATATGAGGTGTTAAAGAATATTTTGACAATATTATAATTGACTTAATTTCATAAAATTATACAGAAACTCGTACTCTATGTTGATGTTATGTTGTATATTTTTGATTGCTAAATAAATTATGAATACAAAAAATTTAAAAAAAATTAAAAAAATGCTTATGTACTCTGGGCGAATAACATTCACCAATAAAAAAATACCAAGTTTATATTACATATTGCTTCAAAATTATTAAATAAAATGAAAAAATTTTGCAGTTTTTAGCATAAATCCAAAATTTAGTTTCGAATGTTTCATTTTCTTAATATAATAGTTTTAGATTTCAAAAAGACCTTGCTTTGACAGCTACTGCTCAGCATAATAAAATGCACCTTGAGTGACCTCACCATTCAATCTTAACAAACGTATTATTAAAATATGCAAATGTTCATATTCCACGAAACAAACAGAAAATTCTTTAAATTTCTTTCAAGAAATGAAATTTAATTTCTTGTACTGTACTGTAACATTTCTTAGACCTACCTTTTTCTAGCTGTTGTGCTAAAATTTAGCTACGCAGCTTTTTAAAAAGCAACTCAACGGTTGACCGATCTCTAGTTAACATATATTATTAAAAGGACTATTTTTACTTCGAAACTATTTACACATATATTTTAAAGTGAAAACTGATACTGCTTGACACCAAACTGTCCGCATTGAGTATCAGACCTGAAACCTTCTGTATGGAAGGCTAATGATGTAACCAGTAAAACTACGGAAAACTCCTTAGCCTTAAATGTAATCATACTTTTATTAAATTGCTATGAAATCTACCCAACGGTTGGCCTATTTCTAGTTGATATATTTTAAATCTAATACTGGTGATTTAGAATTTGATGCAGAAATTGTTGCAGTCCTTCTTCGGAATGCCTTGCTTTCTCTTCGAAACCTTTACATCTAAATTTTCAAGTGAAAACCGATGTAAGTACTGCTTGACATCAGGCTGTCCGAATTGAGTACCAGTCCTGAAACCTTCTGGGTGAAAGGGTAAAATTCTAACCAGTTGGCCACCGGAAACCCCTTAGCCTTAATAGAATTCATACTTTTATTAAATTGCTATGAAAACTACCCAACGGTTGGCCTATCTCTAGTTGATATATTTTTAATCTAATACTGGTGATTTAGAGTTTGATGCAATAATGCCGGACAAGGACTGCTTTCTCTTCGAAATATTTACATCTATATTTTCAAGGGAAAACCGATGTCAGTACCGCTTGACATCAGGCTGTCCGAATTGAGAATCGAGCCTGAAACCTTCTGGGTGCAAGGCATCAAAATAAGCCACGGAAAACCTCTTATAATTAGCCTTAAATGAATGCATACTTTTATTAAATTACGATGAATATAAAATAACCAATAATAATTTCAATAAAATGAACAAAACTGAGTTACAAAATTGCATGTAATGAAGGGCCGGTCCTACCCTGAATGCAAGGCATGCGAAAAATGCGGGCGCACACTTTAGGGGGCGCCAATACTTGTATTTTTTCATATAATTTCAATGACAAACTGTAAAAACAGATAAAAAATATATTAAAGGGGGCACCTTATGTCTACATATATTTTTTTTTGTTTGCATAGATTTATTGTCGATCAAAAATAATATAATTTTTTAAGACAATATACTCGGTGTAAATGCATTTAAAGAGATTATCTCCTATGAGATATCTCTTTTTTTATTATGTCTGCATATATGAATTCAAAGAATTCCAAACTGTATCAGTAATTTGTATGGATTTTCTTTACTATTAATATTAATTATCAAAACTGATTCATAACGTGAGGTGAATTATAAGTTTTATTATCATCTAAATGAATTAGTTTTACTTTCGCTGTCTAACATTTTATAACAGTACTTTTTATATCATCATATAGTATCATTAATAATTGAATTATTTGTAAGAACATATATATTGAAATCAATAGAAACTAACTATATTTACCTACATTACCATTAGTTTGGTATTTACTAATTAATATTTTAAGGCTTTCACATATTTTGAAATCACCGTTAAAATAGTAATTGGTAATAAATTCTTGTCTCCTTGTGTTGAATCATTACTTAAACTAGTTGAAAAAAATCGGAATCCTAAGAACTAATAAAATATTAGCCAAAGTCAAAAATCAAACTTTATCATAAAGGTGTAAAAAAGATTAATTCATCTGTTTCCTTAGTAGACACGGTACTGGGTTTTAGAATAAACAGATTGAAAAATAAAAAAATAATATAAGCTATAGAAATGATTCGTATCGTAATTCGATATTAAATCTAGTAGATGAGTTCTCTTTCTAATTCAAATCTTGACAATATTTATATTAATAACAGAACTAATCAAAGAAATAATTGTATTTCAGTAAATGTGAAGAACATGCCATACAAAACTCTTATTGTTAGTGTGCATGTTTCGAATTGCTCTTAATTGGAATTTATATTATTAATTTTTATTATTATAAGAGACAAGATTCTTTCATTGGAAAGAAAACAAATGTAATTCGGGCGTTAAATTTAATACACTGACGCAATTGCAAAAATGATTAAAAGATCATTAACATTACATTAACGAGGTGAAGTCTCTATATATACTATACAAATAAATACATACAAATAAAAATACACAGACACACAAATATATATATATATATATATATATATATATATATATATCCACTTCTAATGAAAATAATTTTCATTTCTAGACGAAGTTATGTCCTTTTGTAATGTTGTAAACGTTATTACAGAACGAAACCACTTTCTAAAGTGTATGTACGAGTAAACCAACATTTTATAGAAGAAATTATTTACATGTAATGAACTTTTGCAATTAACCGTTGGAACAAAACATTCTAGGGTCTAGTTTTTATTTTACATGCAATTAACCGTTTGAACAAAATATTCTCAGGTCTAATTTTTATTTTACTTGCAATTAACCGTTTGAACCTAGGGTTGAGTTTTATTAACTTCCGTAGTTATAGTAATCGCACAAAAATCGAAAATGAAAATTTTTATATATCTTTACGTTTCAAAAATTTTTGAACATTTTGGCATACCATAGAAAAAATGGATGTATGTGTATATGTGTGGGTGTGCGGATACAAATTTTCGTCAACGATTTCGAGAACACCGGTCAACCAATTTGAATGATTCAAAAAACATTCTATTCGTATTGATAATGAGACCTTCTGTTTAGTTCTTAGCGAAGGCAGATCTAGACGTTCCAAAGATACGGGGCAAAAAGTGCCAAAAACGGTAACTCAGTTTTTAAGAGAACGAAGCGTCCGATTTTAATAATTTAGAAAACATTTTACTTGTATTGACAAGATGAGGAACTAATTAAATTTTTGGCATGGAAGGTCCAGCGGTTATGAACTCTCAATAAAAATAAGTTAGAAAAATGTCGTTTAGCGGTCAAAAATGTTTATTGGTCATATGTACATTAAATTATTAGATATTTTATAGAGATTTTAATAATGTGTACACATTTTGTGTAATTTTTTTTGGGTTCCGTACCAAAAATTTTAATTACGGTACGGAAAGTTCCAGCAATTTGCCTTAAGGCACGATGCCATGTACCCCACTTTTATTAGTTTTACTTGCAATTTACCGTTTGAACATAACATTCTAGAGCATTGGTTTCCAACCTTTTTGTCATCCCCCGTTTTAATGAAGAAATTGCTTCGCTCTCCTTAATTTTTTCAACGATTTTATTTCATAAATACTTAACTGATATTATCAAACTACAAATTAATATGCAATATTTTGTAAAAATATACAAAAAAAATGTTCTCGTTCATTTTTTATAACATTACAACATTTTTTATTTATTTTCACTAATAGTAATAGTTGAGTAATTCTAATAGCATTTCCGCAAAAGAGGTACGACCCTTTTGTAACAGCGAGGGGGCGCGCCCCACAGTTTGGAAACCACGACTCAAAGTTCTAGTATAGTTTTTTTTTCATACCTTTATTTATTATTTTGACAATAGAGACTTATAAAGTCTCTAGTATAGAGTGTTTTCAAAAATAAGATATTATATTTGTAATCTAATATTGTGAATATTAATAAAAATAAACATGACTTTATCTATTGATGCATAAACTAATTAAAAAGACATATATGTTAATTTTTATCTTAATTTATTTTATCTCATAATGCATATTTGTTTATACCATGACATTACGCTTATGAAAATAAATAACTTTAAAAACATAAGTGCAACAAATTTAATTTTAAATATTTATAATTTCAATATAAGAAGAAGTAATGCATTTACTTCTTGTAATACTATCACTCGTCTTGCATTGCATTTTTATATACTTTCTTAAAAAAAATCTATCAATACATAAAAACAGACAGAGCATCAGCAACCTAAATTAAAAAAAACTTATTTTTCCATTAATTGATTATTTTATAAATATAATCTACAAATTTTGAAAAAGACATGTATTTCTGTTGTTTGCAATCTCAAAAGTTATGAAGTGCTGGTTAGGAACTGTATTTTAAGAATGCTTCTTAAAGATTTGATTTACAAAACCAACATTCATCTATAAAATACCACATATGATATAGATTGAAACGATTTACCGCCATCGGTTTGAATAATAAAACCCCTGTTTTTGCGACAAACTTGATATTATATGGATGCCTTTTCCGATATGGAAGATTCCTGTTGTTGTTTACTTGAATCGAATTGAACCGTTATGCATTTAAAACCATATATCGTGATCACAACAAAAATTAATATGCATAAAAATAAAAAATAAAAGCAGATGCAATATGCAGTAGCATAGAAAGAGTTTTCATTTATAATACGCATTTGTTATCTAATTATCTTATAATTAACTTACCTAAGAGCTGTCTCAAATGTTTGACAAATAAGGCATTTACGTGTGCTTTTGCACCCTTCTTGTCACGTTTTTCAGCGATCATATAATGAATTTGATAATCCGGCTTCACAATTTTTCTGCAATGTATATTCGTTTGCAATAGAACATTTAAGGAAATACATGTAACTCACAGAACTATATATAATTGACACTTCACACATAATTTTTACAGTAAACTTAGCGAGAAATAATCACCTAGATTTCGGTTGTTTCTTTCTGCGGTACAGAATCCACAAAATTGTGGCCAGCGCACTTGCACCGACAGCATTATTTCTTGTGACTAATTTACTAAAATTATTTGTCATTTTTAAATTATTTAACAAAACACAACTACACAAATTAACAAAAAAATTTGGAAGAAAGATTTCACATGAAATAACTTTATTGTGCAAATCGCAAGCGAAAAACGTCCTTCGACAAGAACTCCGTGCGCCTCTGTGTGGGTTTGTGGTTCGGTGCCCTGTCGTGAGACAAGTGTCAGATTAAACGCAGGCAGCCAACACTCATATGACGTAAAACGCGCGTGCATAACACAACACAAAAATGGCGCTCAATTCAAATTGAGATCACACAGAAGATACTATTGTATTTTCACTATTTTTATATCATTTATGCGTTTATTATGATCAGACATTGCTAATTATAAGTATTTTATACTGCTATGCTCTTTATATTTTTCAAATTTATTGATACAACCGTCCTTTTTTAATTCCAAATCAAAGAATATTATGTAAATTGTAAATGGCTAAACAACTTCGATCTGAAGCATAGGTTCCCAAACATTTTTGTGTGGTGGACCCATTGGGCTTTGCTATGATATTTTTGATAAATTTATATTATTATTAAATATTTAAAACTAGTGCCTTAAGGCAAATTGCTGGAACTTCCCTACCGTAATTAAAAATCTTGGTACGGAACCCAAAAAAATTTACACAAAATGTGTACGCATTATTAAAATCTCTATAAAATATCTGATAATTTGATGTACATATGTCCATTAAACATTTTTGACCGCCAAATGACATTTTTTTAACTTATTTTTATTGAGTCTATAACCGTCTTCGCCAAAAACTAATCAGCACGTCTTCTTATCAATACGAATCGAATGTTTTTTGAAATATTGATCGGTGTTCCCGAAATCGTCGACCAAAATTTGTATCCGCACACACACATACACACATAAACACACACACTCATACATACATCCATTTTTTCTAAGGTATGCCAAAATATTCAGAAACCTTTGAAACGTAAAGATATATAAAAATTTTCATTTTCGATTTTTTTTTTGAATATTTGGAAGCAATTTTGTACGATTTAATAATAGAGAATTTTGTAAAGTTTAATCTTACATCTCCAGGCTAATGAAGATGTCAAGTCTACATCTTTTTTTGTTAGAAGATCAGTAATAACGCTAAACCTCCTTTCCACTGTTTATTTTGCAACTATTAAATCATTTTTTTCTGTAGTATCCAGAAATACTATAATAACAGTCCCAAAAAGCGCAAATAATTTTGCTCTGCCTTTCAATAGGGTCTTTGCAAACTCAACCACATTGCGACCATAAATCGAATGCCCTAGGCCCTAGGCAATTTTGCAATAAGCTTATTGCCACAACTTACACATTTTTATAATTTTTACTTACATATTTTTATTTACTTTTTAGTTCTGTTTATAAATATTTTATGATGTGGTGTAAAGTGATCCACTACCATCGACCCCTATGTTTTTTCGTGGTCTCCAATTTTTTTTTCTCACGAGGGTCTATGTGGACTACTTTGGGAATCACTGATCTGAAGTGTAGCTAGAAACTGCATTAAGTTGATTAACTTTACGATAGTAATCAAAACCCGAAACAAATATTGAAATTGGTATAAATATCTATATTACAACTAATTATAAAATAGCAAAATTTTTTTATTTAGATTTTTGCTTAAACCTTTCAGTTAAATAGGCTAATAGTAGAAACAAAAATCCTAAATAGAATCCTGTCAATTAGGATTTGCTTGTATGTGTTGCACTATATTCCAGAGGTAAATGAGGCAGCAACAACTATTTACGTTTATTGTAAAACAGGTTTTGTTCTACCTAGGAAACAAAACTGTGAACCTGAACTTCAATAAACAAAGCCAGTTTATTACTTAGTTGAGATTTTCATACTTAATTTAATTTAACGGCCAATTCAATTCAATTCAATTCAAAGACTATATATTTCAGTATATAAAAGTATGTACATTGCACTTTATAACATGGGTTTTTTACCCGAAGGTATTGTATCCTTCATTGGATTTGATTTTACAAACAATAATTAATTCAAAATATATAAATAAATTAATATTTGTGTGACAAAAAAGAGGAATGAAAATTTATCCCCAAAAAAAAATCACATAGCACTATTTATAATAACACATAATAACACAAAAAGAAGAAAAACATAATAAAAATTTATTCATTCTAAGGGAGAAAATTTGTATTGAGCCAATTTACGTTTACTGCTATGGGTCAATCAGTATATATTTTGGCATGGCGTGATTGCCATACCAAATATCGTCTCTTGTGTATTGGCCGATGCCCGCGATGTTAATATTAGGATGATCCCCACATTTTAGGTAAAAATTTTTAGTAAGCTTTTTCATGTAGTCAAGTATTGTCGGTACGTCAGTCTGTTTGTGTATGTATTTTGAAGAGTAGTAATGTCTAGTCAGTGGGTCCCTTATTTTGTTAAGTACTATTCGTAGTGTCTTATTTTGTAATGTCTGTAGTTTCTGTAAGTTAGTCTTAGTCGTCGCGTTCCATGCAGGAGCGGCGTATGTCAGTAGTGGTCTTATTAGTGTCAAGTAAAGTGTCCGCTTGTTTTGCACGCTTAGCGGGCTGTTCTGGTTCAAGAGAGGTCTCAGTAGATTCAACATCCCGTAAGCCTGTCCAATTTTTGTATTAATATGTTTTGTGAAGCTGAGTCTATGGTCCAGGGTCACACCAAGATATTTGACATCCTTCGACCACTCAACTTCACAGTCCAATACTTTAATTTTGTCCAAGTCAGTCAGTCTAGTCATGGCATTTCGGCTTTTTGTAAATAAAATTGCCTCCGTCTTTTGCGGATTGATTTTGATCTGCCATTTGTCAGTATATTCGATCAGCTTGTCTATGTGTGTCTGTATCTTTGTAGTCAGTAGCGTCGGTGATCGTGATGATTTGTATATGGCAGTGTCGTCAGCAAACGTCAGTAACGTTGTGTCGGCGTCAGTGGGTATGTCGTGAATGTAGACGTTAAACAAGGACGGTCCCAGGATCGAGCCCTGCGGTACTCCCGCCGTCACTTGTTTAACCGTCGAAAGTCCGTTGTCTACTTGTACAGTGAAGTTACGGTCTGAGAGGTATGAGTGTAAAGTTCTCGTTATGTACAGTGGAAAGTTGAGTTGGATAAGTTTATGTACAAGTCCGTCCATCCAGATGGTGTCAAACGCCTTCTCAAAGTCGAGTAACACCAATCCGGTATGGTTTCGTCTGTTGAAGTTGAGTACTGTATTTTCTATGAGTTTTGTCAGTGGGTGTAGTGTAGAGTGTCGTTCTTTGAATCCGTATTGTGTGTCAGGTATAATTTTGTTGTGTCTTATGTGTTTGTTAAGTCTTTTGAGTAGTACCTTTTCGGCTACCTTACTCATTGTGTTGAGGAGGCTGATCGGTCTGTAGTTCTGTGGCATGTCTGGCTGTTTCCTTGGCTTCACTATTGGAAATATGATGGAGGTTTTCCAAGAAGCGGGGAAGCAGCCTTTTGTCATTAGTCTATTTATTATGCGCGTAAGTAAAATGTAGGCGTTCGTCGGCAGTTGTTTAAGTATTATGTTTTGTAGTCCGTCCGGTCCTGGTGCTTTCCTGTTCGGTAATTTTTTAACTATTGTCTTTATTTCGGAAACTGTGGCAGGGTCTATTCGTAAGTTTTTGTCCCTGTGGAGGTCAGTGAAGTTTTGAATTGTCTCGTGTACGTCTTGTTTCAGGTCTGCGTTTGACATATTGGCATTTTGTTTATGGATGTTCTCAAAGTTTTTTGCCAATATTTCCGCCTTGTCTGCTGGTGTCGTTGCGTAATTGTTGTCTGTTAATTTGAGTGGAGGTATGGATGTTGGTTTCTGCGTCAGTCTTTTTGCTGTCTGCCAGATTTTGTGTGGGTCAGTATTTAAGTTCTCGAGTCTTTTGGTCCAAGTGTTGTTTCGGTGGTCACGTATATCATTGGAAATAATTTTGGTCAGTCTGTTCACATGTTCCTTGAGTAGTCTGTCACCGGTACGCTGCCACAGTTTCTTTGTGTGATTTTTAAGTTGTATTTTCAATAAAATGTGTTCTGGCAAGTCGTTGTCTGGTGTTGTTCTTGAGTCTAGTGTCGGTATAGTCTGTTGTACGGCGTCTGTGATTGTCAGTGTAAGGTGTGTTACAGCCTCCTCAATGTCTGCGTTGGTATCGATTGGCATTGTGTGTCGTGTGTTGTCTGTGATGATGTCTCTGAAAATTGGCCAGTTGGCTCTGGTGTAATCTAAAAATTTGCGTTTGGGAGTCTGGTCGACGTCTAGTCTGTCTGAAATGGTCATGAAAACTGGATTATGGTCGGAGTTAAAAAGTGTTCTTGTTATGGGTTCGGATGTTACGTGTAGATTTTTTGTCAATGCCAAATCGATCGTGCTGTGATGGTGTGTCTGTACGGTGGCGTATCTGGTCGGCGTGTCAGGATAGTGTAGTTGTGCGTCTGTGGTGTTGTGTTCAGTCAGGTATTCGTAAAGTCTGTTTCCGTTCGCGTTGTTAAAGTTACAGTTCCAAGATGTATGTTGTGCGTTAAAGTCTCCTGCCATAAGTACAAATCTGTTCGAGTCCAGTAGTCTTTGTAAGTCCGCATGTTCTAGTCCGCTTGCCGGGATGTAAATCGATATTATGGTTACTTTTTGACCTCTCTTGTATACATTAATAGCTGTTATTTCAGAACCGCCCGCTGTCAGGTTTGGCACTTGCTCGTGTCTGATGTTAGACTTGATCAAGATCGCAGTGCCTCCCCATCCGCGTGCTACCGTCTGTCTGTCGTTCCTGTAAACTTTGTAATTGTTGATATAGAGTCTGTCCGTAGGTTTTAAGTGTGTCTCGTTGATCAGTACTATGTCCAAATCGTATTTTGTTATCGTCTGTCTCAGTTCGTCCACGTTGTTTTTAAGTCCGTTAGAGTTAAAGTGCATTATGTGTAAGTCGCGCGTTTGGTTTATGGAGATGCTGTTAAAAAGTTAAGTATTGTTGTGTATTTTTCGTTATATGTCATGTTGGTGTTTAGTGATTTTGTCAGTTTGTAAAGCTCACTAAAAATTTGTTTTACCTGGGGATCTGCAAACAGCATCCTGATCTCGCCCATAGCAGCAAAAAGTCCCTCTGGTGTATTGAAATCTGGATCGGACTGGCTGCAGGCAGGCCGGGCTGGTGATTGTGATAGTTCATGCCGGATCTGTGATGATGATGATGCAGGCCGGATCGGTGATGTTGATGGTGTAGGCTCAGCCGGTAAAGGTGAGGACTGGATCATGTTTCGAAATGATGACCTTGGAACAGGGAGTTGAGGAAACGCTGATTTTGCATTTGGGCCAACATTGGTGTTATTTAATGCTGAAGAAAAACTCCTCGTCAGCGGCACTGGTGTTGGTGCTGGTCTGTATATTTGTCTTCTCCTGAGAGCATCACTTTCCTTTTTCTTCTTGTAGTTGAGAAGCGCACTGCACTTTGAGTAGTTTGCCGGGTGTTCGTTGCCACAGTTCACACACATCGGTGCCTCAGTTGGCAGTTTCTGGCACGCACCTGGTGCGTGCACATTAAGGCACTTTATACACCTGTACTTTAGGTCGCAGGTGTACGATGTATGGCCGAAGTTCAAGCATTTGTGGCACTGCAACGCTCTGTTCTGTGGTCTGTAGGTCTCCCAGGAGAAGATGTGTCCACCAATATTGGTTATCCGCTTCAGCTCCGCCATATCCTGGTCTTTGTCGACTAAAATTATGTATATTGGTAGTTTATGTTGACTACCGTCCGACTGTTTTCGTATTACTTGCACCACTTGTTTTATTTTAGCTCCTTTCTGTTGCAGTTCTTCGCGAACTTCTGCCTCAGTTATAGATGGATGGAGTCCCGTAATTGTTATTTTTTTTCCCAGATTTTGCTTCAAGGAGTAGGTGTAGAAGGGGTAATTGCATTCTCGCAATATGTTTTTTAATTGCTCGTGGTCAGTAATTGAATCGGTATAAAATTTGTGTAAATTATTTTTAGGAACTGGTACCTGAAATTGATCTTCGTTGTATCCCGGATATAGCGGATGGTTTTCAACTCTATTTCAGCTTTTACAATGATAGGCGGAATTTTCTCTTGCTTCATGTCTATTTTCTTCGATGGTGCTGCCTGTACGCCTGAAGTGGATGGCTGTGACCCGACATCAATTTTCTCGACCTCCTTGTTTTTGGCTTTCTTCCGCCGTTTGACCTTCTTATATTCCTCAAGCTCCCTGTCCGTGTCCATGTCAGTCCGATCAGATAGTGCATTGTATTTGTTTTTCAGGGTCTCGCTCGTTAATACTTCCATTTTCATTATTTTTAATTTCTTCCCAGGCGCCTGCCTGGGAATATTCTTGTATTCTTCAATATGCACAGCACTGATTTTAATAAAGTTAATCTAAAGACTTAGAAAAATTTAAATTTAGAAAAATTCACTTGCTAATGTGGCTTATCCTCTAACCATTAGCAACACCAATCCGGTGTTTGGAAAGAGGAGTCAGCAGAAGGCACGTTCACCTTATAATTTTGACAAGATATTAAATATCTTGGGAGAATTACACCCGATTGCTTTTAGAAAAGCACGATTTTAAATCGATATCGGGTGAATTCCAGACTTTATACTTTACACAAAAATCTAATGACATTCACTGAAAAAACAAATCTTTAACGGCCATTTTTATGGTAATTTTATGTTTATTTATCTATGCTATCAGCTACAACTATTATTTTCATTCAACTTCCCGTAGTATAGGTTATAGTAATCGCAAAAAAATCGAAAATGAATTTTTTTATAAATCTTTACGTTTTAAAGATTTCTGAATATTTTAACATACCTTAGAAGAAATGTATGTATGTGTGTGTGTGTAAGTGTGTGCGTGTGTGTGTGTGCGGATACAAATTTTCGTAGACGATTTCGGGAACAGGAATCAACCGATTTCAATAATTCAAAAAACATTTCGATGTGTGTGTGTGTGTGTGTATATATATGGATAAAAATTTCCAGTCACGTTTTCGGGCGCACGGATCAACCGATTTGAATGGTTAAAAAAACATTCGATTCCTATCGATAGGGAAAAGAGCTGATTAGTTTTTGGCAAATGCAGGTCCAGCCGTTTCGGGGATACGGAGCAAAGAGTGCAGAAAATAGAAATCGACTTTTTGAGAGAACGGAGTATCCGATTTGAATGATCTAAAAAACATTCAATTAGTAATGATTGGGAGAAGTGTTTATTAGTTTTTTGGCAAAGGCAGGCCCAGCCATTTTGAAAATACGGAGCGAAATATGTAAAAAATGGCAGTTTTTGAGAGAACTAAGCGTCCGATTTGAATGATTCAAAGAACTTTCTGCTTGTCTTAACAAAGTAATTGATTTTGGAAAAAAAACATTTTTGTCTCAATTTTTTTTTTTTTTTTTTTAATTTTTTGTATATCGAAAATAATTCAGATTTTATTTTTAATTCTGACTATAGTTCTAATATACTTTAAACAAATAATTTCAACATTGCAATTCAGTTTATATAATTCTTATAAATATTAGACAATGTTACAATATTTATAATAATCTATTTGAAAACATTCAGTATTCCTCGAACATTTCGTTACGGTACGGGAAGTTCCAGCAATTTGCCTTAAGGCACGATGCCACCCACCCCACTAGTTTTTTATGTCATTGCATGTTTATTAAAGTTATTTCTATAAATTATTTCTTAAATTATACGTACTATTTTGCCGCAGAATCAGGGGAAATTAAATAAAACTTATTTTATTTTACATGGGAATAGGTAATAGCTCTACTAGCTCTGATATATTAATGTTTGCACGTAGCGTAAAACCACGTAAAACTGTCCAATACAAAAGCCTTCAAACACCGAAAGCAATGTAATAAATAAAATAGTAAAAATTGAATTCAAACAGGCCCAAACCATCAGTGACAAACGTAATAAATTCAGGTTTGTTTAAATGATATTCAAATAAAACTTATCTGTTGATGATTTTCTATTAAAATCATAAATACAGATAAAAAAATTAAGAATATTAGGCATGCTGTATTCTTTTGTTTTATACATTCTGTATTAATCGACTCGTGTTAAGTTGTTCAGTGTTGAAATTGTTATATTAAAATTTGTATTAAATTTGTATAACATTATTGATGTTGAGATAAAACATATAGTTTACCACGCGGCGTAATTATAAGTGATGATTTAATGATTATTTAAAGTGTTAATTTGAAAGCAATTTTATAAAAATTGCTAATTACCGAACACATTGTGTATTTATTCCAATCGTTCGTCAAATGTTTTAGATCAAAAACCGTGCAGAATTCGGTCCCGAAATCCACTAATACATTGTGTAATATATTTTGTTACCAAAATTATTCATAAAAAAGTTCTAAACATTATAAATTTAGTGAGCAATGTTCATTGACTAATTATTGTGTTGAAAATAAGTAATATGTAAGTATTATATTGTATTTACAATATTATTTTATGCTAAATGTTCCTAACCTATAACTTTGTAATAATCCTTTCCTACAAAAACTAATAGTTATACTCGTCCAATTATTATGTGAAAGTGAATTTAAAACTATAACAAAATAATAAATTATTAAATTTTAACATTAACTTTTCAGCCTGAAAACTGTTCAAGATGTATTCTAAGGCTTTTGATACTTTTAACGTGTTGAACAAGAAAAACTTGCTTAAACTGGGATTACATTCTAAAAAATATTCAACAGATGTCACAAATACCATAAAACCCAGAGTTATATTTGCCAAACAAGAATTAGACACCGATGATATCAGAGTCGGTAGTGTCTATCATGGCTTCAAATGCGAGGACATACAGAAGGTTCCTGAATTTAATTTGACAGCTTATAGGCTTGTACATGAAAAAACACGCACAGAATATTTGCACATAAATAGGCCGGACCCTAACAATGTATTCTCAATCAACTTTCGCACTACTCCATTTGATTCCACAGGCCTTCCTCATATTTTGGAACACACAGTTCTCTGTGGCTCGAAAAAATACCCAGTACGAGACCCGTTCTTCAACATGTTGAATAGATCTATTAGTAATTTTATGAATGCCATGACTGGCCCCGATTTCACCTTCTATCCTTTTTCAACAGTGAATGAAGTGGATTATAGAAATCTACAAGCTATTTATATGGATGCTGTTTTTCATCCTAACCTGTCTCATTTAGATTTTTTGCAAGAAGGCTGGAGACTTGAGCAAAAGAATTTAGATGATAAAAAGTCTGATTACTCCATCAAAGGCGTTGTTTATAATGAAATGAAAGGTGTTTTTGCAGATAATTCAGCTATATTTTCTCAAACATTTTTAAATACGATATTACCAGATCATACTTACAGATATGTAAGTGGAGGACACCCTCTGCAAATACCAAAATTGACACATACAGATTTAGTTAATTTTCATCACAAATATTACCATCCAAGTAATGCTAAAATATATAGCTATGGAAATTTTTCTCTAACTAAATCGTTGGCATTTGTAGATGATTATGTTTCCAAATTTGATCCTGTTGATGCTAGTTACAGCATAATACCTAATCAAAAACGATGGACTTCTCCACAAAGTCATCATGTAACATGCAGATATGATAATATGGGGGCACCGTTCGAAAAGCAAAATCAAATAGCAATTGGCTATCTTATGTCAGACATAACAAATATATATGAAACATTTTTATTGCAATTCATCACTGAATTGATGATTGTAGGCCCCAATTCATATTTCTACAAGAGCTTAATTGAACCCAATATTTCAGGTGGATATAATGGTACCACAGGATATGAGAGTCAATTGAGAGATACAATGTTTGTAATAGGTTTGCAAAACATTGCAAAAGAAGATTTTGATAAATTTGATAAGATCTACAATGAAACGATTGATGAAGTTATTGCTAAAGGTTTTGATGCAAACCATATCAAATCTGTGTTGCATCGAATAGAACTAAACATAAAACATCAAAGCACAAAATTTGGCTTAAACTTACTTTTTGGACTAGTACCACTGTGGAATCACAACGGTAATATCATGATGAGCTTACAAATGAACAATCTTGTTAAGAGTCTTAAGGAAAATCTTAAAGACCCTACTTATTTGCAAAAGCGAGTAGAGAATTATTTCAAAAACAATAACCATAAACTTACTCTGACAATGACTCCAGATACAGATTATGAAAAAAAATTGATTGAAGCTGAACATGAATTATTACTTTCTAAGGTTAATGTTTTATCTGAGGAAGATAAAAATAGAATATACGAAGAGAACAAACAACTTGAAGTATTACAAAAAACTAAAGCAAACGTTGATATGTTACCCTGTCTTAAGCTGAATGATATTCCTCTTGAAGTTAAGAGATCAGATATTAAGGTTAAGGAAATAAGGGGTGTTCCTTTCAACATATGCCATGCCGCTACCAATGGCATAGTTTATTTCAGGTCTATTTTAAGCGCATCACATTTGAATCATAGCGAAACAATGCTCTTACCATTATTTAATTCAATGTTGACTAAATTTGGTACTCAGAATCATGATTTTAGATCATTTGATCAACTAGTTAATATGAAAACGTCTGGCTTAAGTGTATCTACACATTTATCAGAAAATTTGAATGACTTTAATAAATATGAACTAGGACTCATATTGAGCAGTTTTTGCTTAAATGATAACAGTAAAGATATGATGTACTTATGGAATGAAATATTTGATGGTCCTCTATTTAACGATGAGTCAAGATTAACAATGTTATTAGAGAATTACTTATCTAATTTATCTGTCGGTATTGCTCAATCTGGACATTTGTATGCTATCATGTGCTCGAGTGGATTACTTCAGGAGTCCTCTGCTTTGAAAGAAAGTCTATCAGGGCTTCAACATATAGATTTTATGAAGAAGTATGTTGCGAATAACAAACCAAGTGAAATTTTACAAACCTTCAAAGAAATGGCTACTAAATTATTGACTCGTGATAGAATGAGATGTTCATTGAACATAGATTTTAAAAATGATTCTCAGATCTTTGAACATGCAAAATGTTTCTTAGAAAACACTAGATGTACAGAAGATAAGAATATGAGTCATGTGTGGAATTCATCAAAAGTATCATCGGAGCCACTTGTGAAGTGCAAGCATAATGTATTGAACATTCCTGTAAATTTCTGCGCTAAATCTATATCTGCTGTTCCTTACACAGATCCAGATTATCCAAAGTTACAAGTATTGGCCAAGTTTTTGAGCTCCAAGTACTTACATCACATAGTAAGGGAACAAAATGGCGCTTACGGCTCAGGCCTTAAGGTATCAGCTGACGGAATCATGAACTTCTACAGCTACAGAGATCCCAACTCTAGGAAAACATTAGATGTGTTTGACGAGTCAGGTGATTGGTTCAAGAAAAATGCAAATCTCTTAGATGATCAAGTATTGTTTGAAGCGAAACTGGGAGTTTTACAAACTATCGATGCGCCGATCGCTGAGGGACTCAAAGGATATGATTTGTTTGCTCACGGTGTCACCCAGGAGATTTTCCAGAACCATAGATCTAGTATTCTTCGGGTAACCAAAGATGATATGATGGATGTTTGTGTGAAATATTTCACACTTGGTAACAGGCAGTCTACCAAAACTATCCTGGGACCCAAATCAGAGTTGGAAAAACATGAAGACGAGATTTGGGTAGTGGTAGAGCAGGAAGGAAACTAGATATTAGAGTGTTGTTATTAATGCCAAAGTCTAAGACTCTGATGTTATAAATTATATTGTTAACCTTTATGGAGTTTTGTTAGTGGTCAAAAATTATATATACAATATATGTATATAATACTCACAATGTTACGTTTTTACTGATTTATTGTTTACCGATGTATTACTGTACTATAAAGATATGTATGGAATTATTATATTTATAGATATAGCAAGAACAACTTTTTTAAATAAAAAACAATTATGAATTTTAATTTTTTTATATATACATACATTTAATAATATCATAATTTGTGGAAGAATCTAGGAATAACAAAATTTACTTGATGTGTGCACCGAAATATATATAGAGATATGTATATACATATAGCGGGTCGATTTGTATGGGTAAAAAAAGTCGCATAGGCACATATGATTTTTGGATACTAGGAAACAAAATAAGATACTTTGCTGAAGAAACCATACTTTTAAAATGAATTCTGATGTCCCGTGCATTGACCCAAAAATAAGGGTTGAAATTTGAAATATTCCGTTTTGACCCATTTAGAGTGCCCTAATTGCTTTCAAATGTATGGCCGACCACCACTAACTTTGGAAGGCCGATCCACCTATGCCCCTGTTTCAACCGCTGGGTTCCCCTCTGAAAGGTTTTTCAAAATTCAACCCTTATGTTTGGGTCAATGCACGGGATATCAGAATTCACTTTAGTGGTATGGTTTCTCTATCAAAGCATCTTATTTTGGTCCCTAGAATCTGAAAATCTTATGTGTCTAAGTGACCTTAAAATCGACCCGCTTTAATATATATATATATATATATATATATATATATATATATATATATATATATATATATTAGGGTGGTCCTTAATATGATCATTTTCGAATTTTCTTGCTCCCAGGGGCTCAAATGGTTCCAAATTGATAAAAAACAATTCTCTGAAAGTTTTAGCTCTTAATATTAAAGTTTAGATAGAGCGCAATTCAATCAAAGTTTTGTATGGAAATAGCATGGAAAAATTTTCAAATATTTTAAAAATGTTTTTTAGATGCAATTTAGCGAACAAATGAATGAATAAAACTCATTCATTTGTCGCTAAGTTATACCTAAAACATTTTTTTTTAATTTTCAAAATTTTTTCTACGCTATTTCCATACGAAGTTTGATATTGTTTGATACGGGAAGTTCCAGCAATTTGCCTTAAGGCACGATGCCATGCGCCCCACTAGTTTCTGACAAAGTTATCAAGGAAGTACATACTTTGACAAACATTAACTTTCGCGATATGTGTAAGTAATCGACGTCATCAATAAGAACTAAAATTTGATATCGAAAAAACACCTTTTAAAATTGTTTCACTTATATTTTAGACTATTTATTTCATGAACGATGTTTATTATTGCAATATTTATTGAATTAATTTTTATAATTGCTCCTCGTAGGCCTGCAATATTTCAGGAAGTTCGTCATTACACTACTATACATAAAGATTCATTAGAATTATCAAATAATTTTTTTCAACAATTAAGTGCAAAAAAACGACCAAAAAACTTATCACTACATTTCCAATATCAACAGTTTGGAACAGTTTTTGAAATTTTTAAATCAGGAATTTTGGCGAAAACTATGACAATTTTTTTTTACTTATGTTAATTATAAAGAAACGGCTTGGCCGATCATCGTCTTAAACTATTCAACGCTAGTCTTTATAGAGTTTTATGAATTGACTTTTATATTCTTAAAATCAATTTTGGGGTGCAATTTTGGATCAGTTAAATAATTAGCGATGACAAAACTCTGTCAGACTATTGAAAATTTAAAGAATAATTAGAATAAATAAACGTATCACGTATTCAAAATTTGTACCAAGGTTTATAAAAGTTATTTTGGTTTAGCTGCATGGATTGTGCATTGCATTTGTTAAATTGCAATTTATTTATTAACTTATGCAAAGCAAAATGATCAATTTCATCTTAATTGAACTATTACTTAGTTGTATGTACTTATATATTGGCAGTATTAATTTGCTTTGACAGTATGTTTATATGCTTTTTTTATTTTTATTACAAATCATGATATGTATATATAAGGTAAACTATTGTTGTTACGAATTTATAGATACATGCTGAACGTTTAGTGTACTAATGTGGATGCTTGTTTCATCCCCAACATAATTTGAAAAATATATCTGTCACGAATGGCATTTAGTTAAAAAGTGACAATATAATCAAAAATTCACATTTTTATTTTCAGTTAATGCATTATAAGTGACAAATACTTTTTTAAATGGCTTTATCCGAAAATTTTTCTACATCTGAATGCTATTTCGAGTCATGCATAAACTTTCTTAGCGATTTTGAGTGGCTGTATAACTTTTCCAATACAGAATTACTCGTGAAAAATGTTCTTGAACATTTTCCAATTGAGTGGAAAATGTGTTTTAATAATATGACTTATGATGAACTCTGCCATATGCCTGCTGGAGAAATAAATGTAAGTTTATTTAAAATGATTTTTTGGCGTTAAGTTCACGTTTCTTAAAATGAATTTTGTGCATTATTTTAGGAAACGTGGCCCTCAAGTCTTAAACAGTTCTTTAAAGAATTAAATGCATTAAAACCAAGATTTTCTTATACAGAATGTATAAGTTCAAATCACAAAAACCTTCAGGATGATTTAGGACGTCACGCTACTGGTATGTCCAAAAAGAAACAACACGAAGTGCTTAATTTAGTAAAACAGATTGAACAATACTGCGATGATGTCAATGTTATAGTCGACGTAGGATCAGGCCTGGTAAAATTTTCTGAATAAATTGTATTTATGCTTCTTTTTTAACATCAGCTACAATCACATTTATATAGCATTATAATCATCTGGTCGGTTCTAAATTTGAAATCTTCTGGCTGCTCTCAAAATCAAAATCTCAAGATCAAGAAAGAAAATGTTAGCTTTTTAGGGTATTTTTTATTTATATTTTTATCTGCTTTGTTTTTCTTTCTGTCGTTGTTTAATAATGTATCAAACAGCTTAAATTTGAAAAACAGTTGCAAAACGAAAAAAGTATTGCTCTTAATTGTTATTGAAGATATGTTTTAACAGTTGTAAATGGTTATGGTATAGTTGTTGCATCGCTTTTTGAATAAAAATGTCGTTAAATTTATTTCTTGTATTCGCGATTTTATTTTTAATGTTTATTTCATTTTAATTAGATCATACTTCTGGTCAGGATTTGCTTCAAAGATTTTTTAAGTACAAAGTTTCGATTTAATTCATATAGCTTCATGTTGGCGCCAATCAGCTTGATAAATAATTGCATGCTTGCTGTTTAGATTTAGGTATTTTTGTTTCATATATCAGTGGTTTGTATGGTTTAAATAACATAGTAATTAGGAATTTGATCTCAGGGCTATCTTAGTCAGTTTCTTCATGAAAAATGTGGATTTCATGTTTTGGGTATAGAGGCAGATGAAACTAACATCCGATCGGCGAAAGCGCGGCAAATGAAATGGTTTCCAAAATCATTGGATAAAGTTTTATATGTCCAACACCGTGTTACACCGAAGTCTTGCAGTGCAATTAATGAGTATCTCAAAAATACTGGATGGGATCTGACTAATGGAGTTTGCATGGTCGGTCTCCACACCTGTGGTGATCTAGTTGCCTCAGCAATTGACATCTTCAATTCAAGTAGTTTCTTGAAGAAATTAGTAGTAATGCCTTGTTGCTATCATAGGATGCAGTTTAAAAATATTGACGGTGCTGAGATTTTTCAGAATTTTCCATCTTCGAAAATCTTAAAGCAAAAGTTTGAAAGTGCTAGATGTGCAAAGTATTTCAGAAGACCATTCTTAAGACTGGCATGCCAGCAGAGGCCCGGTGTTTGGGAAAGTTTTGATGGCTTTGAATTAGAAGCGAGATCGTTCAGATTACTTAGTCGATCTATACTTGAACTTTATGTTAAAAAAGGTATTATAAAGTAAAATTTACTTACATGAGCTTTGGGGAATTTTTAATGTGAAGACAATTGAAAATATTTCAGAAAATTTATTATTGGTGAAGAACAAGCGTAAAGCTACAAAGAAGAATGGAAGTAAAAATTGCTTTCAGAATTTTTTGACAGATGTAGAGATAGGATATACCATAAAGCATTTATTCGAGGTGAATATTTAATTAAGAGAATATAATTACAAAAAGGTATTCTGCTATGCACTTATAAAAGACAATTGTATTGTATGAAAATTTATCATCTGTTCATAGTTTAATGGGACGTCGGAATATGAATTTGCAAAACATTCTAATGAGATGACACGATTATGGCAATCAAGAATTGACGAACCAGTAGACATAAAACTACTTTCTGGTGCTTTATTAGTGCTCCAGGCTTGCATGCAACCAGTTTGCGAAAATTTGTTGCTCCTCGATAAGGTGGAACGTTTGAACGAATCAAATGTTGTGGAAAACGCTAAATTCATCAAAATTGCAAACGAAGCGATATCTGCTAGATGTTTTTGCTTAGTAGCTTCTAAAAAAGATTTATGACGAACAGAGATATATTTAAATTTTAACATGGATAGAACAAAATTAGGAAACGTTTGAACTCAAATATTCAAAAAAAAAACATTGTGCAATAATTCAATTTTATTACTTTTGATCTCGTTTTTTATCATGCTATATTCCTTCATAGTTATAAAACTTAAAGATACATAGTTAGAATAGTATAATTAATGATAATTTGCCTGTAAAAACGGTTTTATAGCCGATATATCTTTTGGCAAAATCAACAAAGAGGTATAATTTATATGAATTTTAAACTAAATTTTAATAATGTATTGTTTTAATTTAAATTTTAAATTTTAAATTTTTTTGATTTATAAATTTTAGCTGATATAATAAATTTAACGATTTCCTTCATAGATATAGAACATAAATTTAGACAAATAAAAGTATTGATATTTTTCCCGTAAGAAATGATATTATTGTCGGTATATTTTTTTTGACAAAATCAAATTATGAGTATATTTTTCTATGATACAATATAAATTTTAATAAAAAAAGTATTTAGTTTGCATTTGAATTTTAAAATTACCAGATGTACAAATTTTAATATAAGTATAACGTTTTTCTTCGTAAATATAGAACTTATATTTGGATAAATAGAGTAGTATAATTATTGATACTTTTCTTTTGTAACGGATTTATAGTCGGTATATTTTTTGACAATATGAAATTATGGGAATATTATACTATCATACAATACGAATTTTAATGTAAAAATTTTAATAATGTATTTTCCTAATTATTTTTTTTTTATGATTTATGAATTTTAACTTTAATTAGTTAGTACAACAGCAAAAGTACAACGATTTCCTTCATAAATATAGAACTTAAATTTAGTTTAATAGAATAGTAAAATTATGGATATGTTTGCTGTTAAACGACTTTATAAAATTATACTTTCAGTATAATTTTTGACAACATGAAATTATGGGCGTATTTTGCTAGCATAGGTACAATATGCATTTTAATACATATATTTTTTAAATGTATATAATTAATTTGAATTTTAAATTTATTTAAAATTTTTTGGATGTATAAATTTTAATTAAAATAATGAACATAAGTTTTAACTCATCTGAAAGGAACTAACATATTCTTTATCATACAACCTGAAACTGATATATTACGAAAAATCTGATGCAAATTCAGTTTGAAATTGCAATGAGTTTATTACTGATTAATATGCGAATTATATAATTTTGAAAGTACAACATTACATGTATTTTTTGTATTTGTAGTGATATTTTTGACTATATAGTTTTAAGATACGATAGGTAAACCTTTTTATATATTTTTCAGACTTTTACCAGTGATTAACTAATAAGAATAATAGATTTCTTTAATGTTATGTCTAGGATCAGAGAAAAGTAACCAAATATGTAATATAATAAATTAGTAGAGAATCTTTCGTACTCAACCAGTCATAAGCAATAATAGTGATTATAAGGAGCAATTTATTCTTACAAAATAAAAATTATAAATCTTTTTTTTCTGATAATCTCGTATGTGTAAAAAAAATTATTGCCTGATTTGTAATAAATTCCTTTTTGTATCTGATGTATTTTTGTCTTTTAAAAGTGTTGCTAATTTAATAAATAAAGATGTTTTTTTATATTTGGTTACTTTTCAATATTTGTTTTATATGATTAGTTCTGATAAGCGCCGTATATTAAAATCAATTGTAGTAAAAATGAATTTTTCTTTGAATCTTACTTTCTTTGAATTAGAAAGTATATTTTATTTTGCTCAAATCGATCAATTCTAATTTAACTAATTATTTTATAAAATTTCACTGTTATAATAATTTTAGCTAAGCGGCGCCCATCATACAAAATATAAATTATGCCTAATTATAAATAATAAAAAAACATTGTATGAATAAAATTAATTTAATCATCATTTATGTTAATAATTTTATTGAATTTGAAATTTATGCTTTTTGATACAAACAATTTTTCTTATTGTTAGATAAATAATAACATATGTTTTGGAACGTCTAAGATTATTTTCCAATGACATCATATTTTAATAATAATATTAGATAAATGAAAACTAAATTATGAAAATATTATAACATATCGTATTACTTTATTTTATATTGGAAATACATACATAGCACAAATTCTTGAATATCTTCTCTCATTTTTTCTTTATTTGGTTAAATACATATTGATTGAGTGTTTAGAATGGGTCTGGGCTTGGTTTAATCCTGAAATAAAAATATGTAATTAAATATATGTAATTACAAATTTACAAAAATGTTACTTATTTTAATGTTTTATTATATCTGAAGATTGCATGAAGAGTGAAGTTATTAAAATAGACATATTTTTTTTAATTGCAACCAGTTCTCACTTTAGCTTATAGAAATATTGTAATTTTTCTAATTGCTAAATAAATCTATTACAAAAAGAATTGAATAATTCTTAAACGTTTTTAACTTCTTCCTGTCATATAAAACTAACCAAAACATAATTCTGCGAAATTTGTACAGTTTTTTTGAAAATTCGATCCACACGTGTTACACAAAATTGTAAAAGGACGTGTGTTCTAATTAATAATGTTAATTACATACTTTAGTGTCGCTGATCTCTCAGGGGTTCATAAACAGAGAGCTGGGATAGCGTTTGTTTGTGTTTTTTTTTCATTATCTTTATTATAGCTGATAAATAAAATAATTGTTCCGAGTTGTGATAATTTTTAACAAACTTTTCAGACGGCAACTCAATGGTTGACATATCTGTATTTGATATATTTGTTATTAGAATTTCTTTAATACTGATGATATATTTTTGAGGAGGAAGGTTTATTTTCAATTGGAAACATATTTCAATCTATATTTTCAAAAGACATTGGATATCATGGGGCCAGGGGTGGCGAATTCAAATCGTTGGTAGGCTAGCACCAACTATAGTCCCGGGTTCGCAGGTTCGATCCCAGCCACGGCCAAGTCCGATATGAGGCGGCTTTGATATCAAACTTCCATTTGAAGTTATAGATCACAAATTTAATTTCAAGTGAAAATTGCCTCTCCTGGAATAACTACTACATTGCCATATATTCAAAGAACCATATAGTAACGTCAAAAAAATACTGAATTTCCTAGTATGACATAATTTGATTAATTAATGGTATAACAAAAAAGAATCGATATCACTACAAAAAAGCAGATAAATTTTATTTATACATAAAGCACAAGAATTGTATTTGTTAACTTCCCGTCGAATAGTTATAATAATGGGCCAAAAATCGAAAATGAAAATTTTTGCATCTCTTCACGTTTTGAAGGTTTCTGAACATTTTGGCGTACCTCAGCAAAAATAGATGTGTGTATGTGTTTTGTATGTCCGCATTTTTTCGTCCACGTGTTTAGGGCACGGATCAACCGTTTTGTATGGTTCAAAAAACATTCGATCCCTATTAATAGAGTGATGTGCTGATTAGTTTTTGGCAAAGGCAGGCCGTTACGGAGATACGGAGCGAAAAATGCAGAAAATAGAAATTGAGTTTTTGAGAGAATGGTCCATCCGATTTGAATGATCTAAAATATATTCAATTTGTAATGATAGTAAGAATTGGTGATTAGTTTTTAACAAAGGTAGGCCCAGCCGTTTCGAAGATACGGAGCTAAATGTACAGAAAAATGGCAGTTTATGAGAGAACTAAGCATCCCATTTGATTTTTTTTATTTAATTTATTCTGCAATCTGTTTCACATATTCATTAACATTAAGCAGAGATTGCTAACAATAATTATCATATAATATAAACAAGAAGATAGTAGCAACACCCAGCGGCGTGTCTACTAGGTATAAGCATCCGATTTGAATGATTCAAAAAACTTTCTGCTTGTGTTGGCAAAACAATTGCTTCTGGAAAAAACATAAAACTTGAACTGTATCACTATGCAAAAAGTGACCTTCGGGAAAATAATAATTGACATATTATGCCTGACTAATGATTGTTTCTGTCTAATCTAATAAAAAGCTATTTTCGCACATTAAAGTCGAACAAAACCTTTCCATTTAAAGTGTTTTTCCTTTTGCTGGTGTTTTTCATCGATCTAATTTTGAATTTATCAATGAATGGTTCAGATGTTTTATATTCTAGTTACTATATATCTGATAACTTTTAGAAAATGATCGTATTTTTAAGGATTATTGGACTCCCCCTTCCCCTTAGCGATACGAGGTGATAATCAAAATTACACCTCGCCCTCCCCCACCAAACATTACGTTTATTTTCAGTTACGAAAAAAATTGACATTTTTTTGAACTTTTTTTTTTTTTTTAATTCAGGTAAAAAATAAATACACGTAATATCTTACTATACCCCCACCTCTCCACGTGATTTTTGTCAAACCCTCCCTTTCCCTTAAAAACTTCACGTGATTAATAGACGCCCCTTTATAGTGTATTTTATCTAATTTTATTGTAATCTTAACTAAACAAAATTCTTGCGTTATTTGTCCCTAGCCCTCGCACTACATGACAATAAGTTACAAAGAGTTGATCGAGGGACGATATATTACTGCACACACACACAGGTATATATATATATATATATATATATATATATAAATTTTATTAGAACTGAACCTTTTCGCTTTGACGGAAGTATGAATTAAAATAGAGGCCAACAATGCGTGTATCTGAGGGAGCGAAAATATATGTTACACCTAATTCCGAAATACAATTCCCAGAAAGTGCGACTCGCCAATTAGTCTAATGACGTCTGTCGCTTTTTGGTGATAATTGCAAGAGCCTATATTTGGTAATCGCTCAACGAACCGAAATAAGCTTCAAAGATTATAATCTTTTACTAATATTATTTTTTTTTAAATTAAATATAAATTAACATTATATTATTATTAAAATTTTAATTATAATACCATAATCTTCTACATAAGAATAAATGCATAGTGTGAATGAGAATAGTATATTTTTAAGCAACGAACATGTTAAATAGTATTCCCGTGAATACGCGATGTTGTGGCAATGTTGAAAATGAATCACTATCGATATGAAA